ACAGAGAAAGAGAAAGAGATACAAAGAGACAGAAAGAAAGGAGACAGACAAACAAATAAATAAATAAACAAATAAATAAATAAATAAATAAAAAATAAATAAAACAAAAATATAATACCCCACCGCATGTGTTAATCATAAGAGAAGAAAAAGAATAGAGAGCTGTGCTCTGCGCCAGCTGCTTTCCTAACTCAAGAAACAGCTGCTGCTGCACGTAGTAGGGGTCACGAGGGGGCCCCCTTCTCTCGTATGCTGCTGCTGCTGCTGCTGCTGCTGCTGCTGGTGTTGCTGCTGCTGCTGCTGTTGCTGCTGGGGGATTGGGGGGCCCGTTGTCTTTTGTCACAGACTGAGGAGACAGCGCAGAAGGAGACACTTTTAGAGTGTCTCCTGAAGCAGAAGCTGCAGCTGCAGCAGCTGCAGCAGCAGCAGCAGCAGCAGCAGCATCTGCTGCTGCTGCTGCTGCTGCTGAGAAAGCTAGTGTCTCCTCTTCCTCTACACTGATCAGCTCCCTTAAGGGGGCCCCCCAATACCTGGGTGGGGCCCCCCCTCTCGTCTCTTCCTTTTCGTTAGAGAAGAGGGTACCGCTCAGAGGCTGCAACACCGCTGCTGCTGCTGCTGCTGCTGCTGCTGCTGCTGCAGTGTCTGCTGCTGCTGTATTGTGGTGAGGAGACAGCTGGAGCTGCTGCGCTTGTTGGTTGTTTGTGAGCTCAAACAAAACAGAGAGACAGGCAGCAGCAGAGAAGAGAGACAGAAACAAAAGGGCACAGCCAATGCGGCATATCATTCTTTGTAGTTTAGGTTCATAGTAATTATAAAGATGATTAAAAAGGAGACAAAAAAAACAAAGGAGACACCCCAATACAAAAACTATAGATATACATACACACATACGAATGCTTACTATGCTCCTCACCACCTCTGTACTACACACAGATAACAACAACCCCACCAACCCCGAAGAAAATTTATAAATATATGCAAATACAAACAAACAAAAAGATAGCTCCTCTCCCTCTTCTCTCTCATCTCTCTTGGGGGCCCCAGGGGGCCCCCACGATCTATACACAGAGGAGACAGAGGGTA